TGGAGTGGGTGTGTGAGAGGAGAAGGAGGAGGGGGGCCAAGCGGCTTGTTTCATTCGAGGTGTGGGGAAATGGCTTCCCGCCGAGATGGATGGATGGATGGATGGCCTCCCTGCTCGGTTACAGCTTCTCGCCCCGGGAAGGGGAAGCAGGGAGATTCTTCCCCCCCCCTTCTCCTGGCCGCGGGTGGGCGCTGCCGAACCGGGCCGCTCGCCCTGAGGTGAGGGGCGTGTGGGGGCCGCTCGCCCGCCGCCCCCTCAGTGAGAGCCCAGCGCCTTTTCCAGCCCTTCTTCCTTCAAATAGGGGGGGGATTTCGACGACGACCCCTTCTGAGGAGGAACGTGGCTTTTTCACGAAGCCCTTTCACGTTCGTGTAGTTCTCCACAGCGTTTAACTTGGTTGCAGCACTCTTTGGGCCGGCCCCTGAAGGCGAGGCTGAGATACTTTAGGTAATAACCGCCTTTCTGCCGCTCATGGAGAAGCAAAAAACTAAAAAAGAAGCCCAAAAACAAGAGCTACGCTGTGCTTTCACGTTTTGAGAGGCACTGGGCAACCGTCTTTCTAAACAGCCAAGTTCCCTGTGGAATCCTTCAAATCCTGGTCTTAATTTTTGCTTTTATATAAAGTAATCTTGTTTATGCTTTTTTTTTTTTTTTAGTTAAAATGCATTGGGAATATTTTATGCATCCAAATGCTTAATAGGTACTATAATGTCTCCAATTCCTTACATAAATTAAAGTGACATAGTTCTCCAAAATATGACACCCCTTTGGTTTTTGTGTGGAAACTTCTAGAAGTTTTTGTGATTTTAATTGTCGTAGCAGCAGTGTTAGGTAACTTAATCGATAAACCACTAGTGCCCTCATGGAGAAAAAGGTACATTATTCAATACGGAGGCATAATAGATTTGTCTTTTTTTTTTTTTCCTCTGGCAATCTTCTAGTTTCAAGTTCTAATTAAGAAATGAGTAAAAATGAGTTTAATAGTCTCCTAGTTCATATCTGTACACAGTGACATCACCAAAGTGGAATATTCAAGAGAAATTAAGATCAGGAGGAACACTGGGAGAACGTGGTGGGGATATTGTATGTCCACATTATCCCCTTAACCTAATGACTCCTAGACTTTCACTTTAATACACAAACTTGGTGTGCTGCTTAATGCCTCATGTTGTAACTTGTTTAGTTTACTTTTTACTTACTGCTCCTTCAGCCACTTTTCTCCAGCACCAGCATAATGCATCCCTTAAAGCCCTGGGAACCGTGGGCCAGCGTGTATTTGTTGTCTGAAAAGAAACAACTGGCTGAAAGTTGTCTAAATGTGAGCTGGTTCTGCTGGTGTGCCTTTGGCACCTCATTGAGTGACCTGCATGTCATGGCAATACTGTGACACTCATGTGTGAATGTTTTAAGCTGCAATACTGTTTCGGTTAAGAAATAAAATGCAAGAATTTGAATAAATGCCAAAATGCCCGCACTAGTTGAAAGAACAGAGAATTCAAACTGTCCCACCTCATTCTCAGTTTTACTGCACTTCAAAACCAAGGTGGTGTGTTTCGTTTGGTTTGTTATTTTTCTTTGAAGAAACCATGCTTTTGAGGAGGTGGGGTTATTTTTCTTGTTAAGCTATTGAACTGCAGTCATCATCCCAAATACTGAGAATGGGAATAATATACAGTATTTGAATTCGGTGACATACGCTACATTCTTGTCAGAGCTCTGAAGTTGCTGTAATTTCGAATTCAAAACCTCAGCCTTGCCCATAGTGTAACCTTGATTTCTCCATCTTTTGTCAGTATTCTTTTTGTTGTTGTTGTTGCTGTAAAGCCCAGTTTGGAAATAATAATTTAGAAATCTGTTTAGAAAAACCCAGGTTAGATGTTGCTATTTATTTATTAAATGTTGTGCTTTATGTCTGTATTTTGTTGAAAGTCTTACTTTTAAAGTTTGCTGATTATTGATGCTCATGTATTTTGCCCCCCTCAAAGTTAAACATGGGCTTTTATAAATGGTAGTGGGAGAAGACAGTAATGGGACACAGTTGTGATCAACTTTAGGAGTAGACCAAAATGATCATTGCAAAGATACCTTCAAGGTGGAGAGCTTGATTGGGTCAGATGGTGCGTAACGACTCCCAAAGGTTTTGAGATTATAGTTTGGGCTTTCCTTGCTCTAATTACCCCAAATCATTTGGGTAATCCATTTGAAAACTGAATTGATTTTGTTTTCACCCTGCTAGTCTTATGTTTCTCTATTTGATTCTGCAGTTAATGTCTTCTATCCGAAGATGCAAGATGGTCTGCCTGGCTGCCGCCTTCCGCTGGAAACTGCTGGGTGGCACAAGGCAGCTGCATCTTCATCTGTTTCTTTTTGTTTTCTTCTTTCTTTTTTTTTTTTTTTTTTAAAGAAAAGGGTGATTTCTTCTTCTTTCTCCAACAATTTCACTTATTAATTTTTCCTATATCCAAACCTCATTCAGAAGTGCTATATTTTTATTTGTCGTTGTTTATGTCAATCAGAATATGTAGATTGGCAACTATGTCTCACATATGGCAGCTTTGTGTCTCTGCCTTTTCTTTCTGCCCATTGTTTCTTCTTCCTGGATTTCCTGTGAAGTCAGCTCTCTCAAGAGAAGTGTGATAAAATAGCACTTCTTATTTCTCTAGAGGTTTTGACATGCATTTCATGGAAAGCTTCATTTTAGTCTCATGGAACCAGGGATAAACTAATTTTTAGGAGCCTGAAAAGAACAACGTGTATAAAAATACCAGGTAATCGATGGTTATTTGAGACTATTGCTCAAAGTACAATAACGAGCTGAATGAACCATGAAATCTACAATATGAGATTTATTATGCAAAAGGTTGTAAAGCTGACATGTTAACATTCAAATAAAAATACTGGGTGCTGTAGTTTAGGACTTGGGCACCTGAGACTGTGCCACGCAGGAGCTGATTGCAGTCAGCTGGGACTGGAGATCTTTCCAGCAGCTTCACCAGACACAGAATTGGGCCTCTAATGAAAATACAGCACATGGTAGTGGCTGGTGATAAATGTGTCCTTCTGTACAGCAACTATTTCATTAACCTGCAGCGCTCAGGACTTTGCATACTCAGCTACTGCCTTCTGGTACACACTTCAGCAGTCTGCAATGAGAGAAACTTTGTGGACATCCATTTAGTAAAATTTGGTAACACATGGATAAACTGTCCAATGAGCAGGGAGTACTTCATTCACAGCAAGGTAGTTCATTTCTGTCACTTTACTTTTGCTATAGTGGACTTTTTTTTCTTCGAGTGGTGTCTGTCCAGTGCCCTTTTTATGTTGTACTACTAGTGATCATGCACAAAAAGCAGTGCAATGTTAAAAGGGCATTGGCCAGCAATACTATCTACGTTACTCATTATTATTCTTATTATTATAGTCATAAGTCAAAGTCACTGAGACCAGACAGTGATATGCAAAACAGCTCTCAAATGGGATTGTTACTAATTTCTTTTTTTGCATGCATCATCCTCTAGTTATTGGCCAAGGAGAAATGTTAACTGGTCTTTTAATGACAAATACCATTAACTCTGTGTGTGTGTTTCCTTAGGAATAAGAGCCCTACAAAGAGGAAAGAATACTGTGTAGCATTCTTATTTCCTACAGTGTGTTCCAGAGAAATGTTCCAGGTGTGGAGTTGCCTCAGGCTGCTGCTCTGTGTGCATTAGCAACCATCTGTCTTCACTCCATTCGCCTGTTTCTTTGCATTTTTGTTAAGAATCTTTGCGCCTTCAAACCCTAAGAGTTCTCAAAATTTTTATATGAAGTTGAAGTCTTGTTTAAAAGAAACACCTTTATTGAGATTTATGAAATACACCCCCACTTTGACGGTGCTCTAACATCCGTGTGATTATCCCAGTGTTAATGTACAACAAGGTTGGGAAATGAGTGTGTGTTTAAATGCATTTTAAAGTGATTCAACACCTGCAAATAAGAAGAATCAACTCTGGTGTCCAGAAAATGTTCCCTGTAATGCAGTTTAAGAACATCTGTCTCATAGCAGTTTAGAATTCTTTGCTTGCTATGAGGTAAATCTAAAAAATAAATGCATTTGGAAAAACAGTTTCTAGTTAAAAGAGCACCAAATTGTTTGAAATTGAATTTCTGACAGATCTGTTGAGCATTTCACTGGGTGTTTTTCCCCTTCGCCCCCATCTTGGTCAGTGGAATGACAGGCATTATGAATAATAATAATGTCTGGAAAAATGTGAGTTCTTGTGTGTCTGTATTGGGACTTAGTGAACATTAACCTTATCCGGTTCTCCATGATCCACAGAAACCACTATCTGACATGACCTGCTTTTTTTCTGATAAATATTTTGAGTGTATTGATGACTTGTACAGAATTCTTGCTGCTAACGAATGCTCTGACTTTATTGCACTACTGTACTTTACAGCTAGCAGTGCAATAGTATTGTCAAAGCATCTGAAAGCAGAGCGCGCAGCGATGGCTTGAGTCTGGCCTCAAAATTTCTAACACTTTCTTCTAAGCCTGTGAGTAAACTACAAATTCACATTTCACAGACTGCATTTTCTGTGTGATTATTGTACGAGACTCATCATACCAATTGTCCTAACCTACAACCTTAAGGGGAGATTTTTGCAAGGGTATGTTTCTTGAAATACAGCAAGAAATAAATACTTATAGAACAAAGGAAAAATGGATCGCAATAGAGGAATATATGGCAGTGCTTGTAACATGCTTTGAAATTGCTGATAATAAATTTTGCTTCTTTTACAGTTTGTGTACTTTCAGCAGAAAGCAGTGACACTGAACTGTGTTAATATTTTCATGAAGCACAACTCTTAAAATTATAGCTGCAGCTTTCAGTTTCACATTCAGTTTTTAATATCTTGAATCACAGTAGTAGCATGATAGCAGTGGCTTTCTGTCATCCTGTAAATCTCAACTTATCAATATTGAATATTTTTAGGAACAGAGCTTCATGGATAATTTTGAAAGACACCCATGTTCTTTGTCTTCATTCCCAATAACTAATAATCAGATGGAGGAGTTGAAAAAAAGCAAAAAATTCTCTTTTTGGAGTGCCTAAATGAAACCTAAAAATTGTTGCTAGTGGAGGAGAACAGAAGTGATTGAGCAGTTAGGGAAACCCTCATGAACTCTTTAAAAATGCATAGTGCAATAAAAGGTATTTTATTCTTGCATTTTATTACAACTGGTTTCTGGGGTAGATGTGGGAAGGAGTTTTGTTGGTCAGATGGTAAGTTGTGGGAGTAATAGGTGAAAGCTTTCCCAGGCCTTTACTAGATTTATTTTCCTTTATTTTTAAGCTATTATTTGAAAATGTGCTGAAGGTGTTTATATATATGAAAGACCATATATTTTCACTGCTTCGGAAAGGGGATTTTACTTGTAGAGTATCTTGGATCGAACACTATTCCTTTAGGCTACTTGATGTTCCAGATCCTCAAAGGTATTAATGGCAGTTCCTGGAGGTGGATCCCAAGGCTGATGTTTAAAACATAAACATCCTTTTGGTATCCAGGCCTGGCTACAGGCTACATCCAAAGACTGTTGAACTGTAGCTACCATTATGGCACTGCTAGTTAGTGCTTCTGGATACTGCTAACAAATATAGCCTTATTTTACCTTTTAAAAAGTTGTAATGGTTACTTCAGGGTTAATATCAATATAAATAATGAAAACTAATTTAAGTAAGTTACAGACATTTTTAACTTGCTTTCATTGTTGTTTCTTTTGTTACTGTAAAGTCCCCAAATTACTACGTTAAAAAATTTATGAGGTTTTTGTGAGCTGGGAAAACCACCTTTATAGCAGAAGTCCTTAATAGAAATTAAAATTGCAGACTAAAATTAATTAAGTAATAATGCTATCAGCAGACTGTTTTACAAGGCAATTAGATAATTCTCTGGTGGCTTATTTATCCCAAGGAAAGAAATATGATGTCATCAATTTTATTACCTATTTGTCAGTCTCATTTATTGGGGAATAATAAAATGTATTATGAGTATTATGACCATCTGAGAGAATGCATTCCTAATATAATTAATAATAAAATCTCTGTTGATACGCTTGGATCTTGAACACTTATTCATAATCTCTGCTGTGTAAATAACTGAGCATTGCAGTTTTGCTAGTAGAACTTTTAATGTTTCAAAAGAAAAGCAGCTAGCCAAGAAAAAAGCTCTAAAAATTGATAGAAGATATGTTAATATCTCAGGAGAAAAAAAAAAACAAACATCTTCTGCATCAAGTGGAGATCAGTTTAAAAGGATGCATGTTCTTTTCTATTGATATAACTTACCTCTTTGGTGTACTCCTTAAAAACTTCATCTTGAGAGGTTTGGCATTGCAAGGGAGATGGAAGGAAATAGAGAAAGAGGAAGAGATGGAAATGTTTTCATGCATTTTGGGGAGCTGCATGAAAAAGGTACTAATGGCAAGATGCAAAGAGAACAATTGCGTAATTTGGGTTAGACAAATGGAAAGAGGATAAAATTAATAGGGGGGGTGTGTATACACACATTTGATTTTTACACATTGGAGAAAATGGTCAAGTCTGAAAATTTATTGCTTTATATTTTATAGGCTAGAAGCGTTGTCGGCGTAATTAGCAAACGTTAGCTAATGGAATAGATTGGAGGAACAGAAACTTACCTCCGTTTTAAAGGCTCATGTACTATAAAAGTATCTGGTTTCTGCTTTCCTGAAATACAGGAAAGGTGAACTGTTGGGGTATTGTCTGCAATTTTTATTTTTTTAATATTCTGTGTCTGATCTTAAATATTTTAGTTCCGGAAGGCAGAATCTGATCTGGATTATATTCAACACAGACTGGAGTTTGAAATAATGAAAAGTCTTCCTGATAATCCAGCGGCAGAGGTAGTATTTTCAGATTAAATTAATAGATATTATTGCATTTTGCATTAAGTTGGTAATAAATGGGTCATTTTCTTTAATCCTAAAATAGATGTGGCTGTTCTTTTATCTACTTGTTACGTTTTTATTATTATTATAAAGTATTTTCTGGCATCATAAATCAAGATAACTGACCTAAAATGAATTCAATGCAAGCATAGAAGTGACAAAACCCCCTTGATTTCTTGATATAGTGAAATTCTCCCATATTGTCTTTGAGAAATGGGTAGTAGTGTTAACACCTAAATTGAAGAGACAGATTCCAATCTGAGCTAAACCACAGATAAACTTGCTAATAAGCAATGACTAAATTCAGATTTGGGGGAGAGATGAGAGGAAGAGGAAAACAGTAAATGGCAGCACATAAAGGATTTTATAAATGAGTCCTTGTCTCCATATATACTGTGACATATAGTGGAAAAATAATCTTTTAACTTAGAAGTCCTTTATTTATTACAACTCAGAAAAACCATTAAAATCCAACAACACCATAAATTCATCCTCCTGTATTTGTTGTGGAACCACAGAGTTGTGCTGTTTTATTAACACCACCTATCATTTTTGCTTATGAAAAATTAAATGTATAGATGAAACAGATGCTCACAGCTACACTTTTCATTGTATATGTTATATTTTAGTGGCTCTAATGCCAACACTTGTAATTGGTATGTGGCCACATTAATTTTCTCTTCTTAAATAGTTTAAATGCTCTTTTAATTTCTACATAGGAAAATCCAGTTGCTCTCTTGGAAGAACTCTCAGTGGTGAAATCTCGTTATAAAATGTTATGTGCCCAGCTGGAAAAAGTTTCCATAGAGCAGAAAGAATCCATGAAGGGCATCCGCGCTGCTCTAGAGAACACAATGAGGATGGTTCAGGCATTGCAGCAACATGCTGATCTTGAGGTAGTATTTTCATTTCAATCAGTTGGGTCTCACTGCAGTAAATGAGCATGGATTTGTGTAACCTTTACTTAGATCTGAGTAGTTCCACTGGGAACTGTTACATGTGCAAACTCTTAGAAGATAAGAAGACTGTTTACCCAAAGAAATGTTTGCAAGATTGGAGCTCTTTTTGTAAATCACAAGCCTGATTCATCACTCGACAGTTCAGCGAGTGGTGTTCAGTTTTGAAGTAGTACCATAATAGTGTGACACGTTTGACTAGTTTCATAGAAATTGATGCTTTTGTGCACAGCTGTGTCCCTGTTCTGTACTGACATTTTTAAAAAGTAGCTACCTTAAAGAAATTAGAAAGTGAAACCAATTTTAAATGGCAAAAAAAAGCTTTTAAATGGCAAATGTATTTTCACTGTCTAACGTAAGTAAAACCAACACGTTTTAACTTGTGGTGGAATTGCCCTTTGTATGAAGAAGTAAGTTTTCACGATATGATAATGGTGATCTATCTGTTAAAAAAAAAACAACAACAATACTTTTTCCTAAGCGGTCTTCAGACACTGCTTCTTTATAGTTTTGAAGAGGTTGTTAAAATATTAATTTTGTCCCTTTACAAATAAGGTGATTTAGATCAAAAAAGTTAATCAATAGTCTAGTGGCAAAGACAGAACTGGTGTGACTAAAACATATCCCCAGATCTCAGCTCTCGCTTTAATGTTCTAATGACAGTGCCCTGAGATTGTGTTTAATCTGTCAACAGCTCTAGACAAGTTACTGGTAAGTATAGATAAAATGTGCTGTATAAGGATTTAAAAGACAGTAGTTATATGTCACAGAAAGGAAAAAATATTTTCTTTCCCTGTGTTCCAAGGATATGCTGCCAAGAGTAAGTTCATACTTGGATTTTGTTAAAGACTCTTGTCTCTTGAGTTATGTGTAGACGTTTTAGATAAAGATTTTCTTGTACTTTGTGTATTTCCTAAACCAAAGATGGATCTCCATTTCTGTTATGGAGAAATGTAAGTCTTTAAGTGAAATACTTCTTTTAATTGAATAATTTATCTTCTTTTCTTGAATCATTTACAGTATTGATGTTAAAGGGATATTATGGTTGGATTTTTCAGAAATACTTAGCTTGTAAATTTGCTTTCATTTGAAGGAAAGTTGGAGTTTACTATTAGTTTCCATGAGAAAAGGGCTACACAAATATTACACAAATATTTTTGAGTTCTTCTGTAAATATCATCACCCTTGGAAATGTATCAGAGATCTCTATGTTTAGGGTTTTCTGTTTGTTTTTTATTTTTTGTAGCGCTTACCTCTGTCGGAAGAACAGGCTGCAGCACAGCAGTTAACCTTCCAAACTGTTAAAGAACTGGAATCGCTAGTGGAAGAGGTAATTAGGCCACAGTGCGTCACTATTCCATGAACCTGAGTATAATAATCCTGAGTATAGCTCAGCTGAACTCAGAATGGCTCTTTTTGTGACTTAATACCTTTCAAATGAATGTAATTTTTCAGAAATGGGAGTAAAGTTTCTAACAAACCTTTTCATTTTTAATGTACGCTGATTATGATTTGTTCCAATTAAATTGTCCACAAAACAAAAAAAATTGCTTTGATGGAAGACTTTGTTTCCCTTATTTTTTAATTGGGATATGTTTATGTTTCTTTTCAGAGATGCACTTGGTTGCTCTTGTCAGTTCTGTTGTTCTGTTAACACAATTGGGTGGGAGTGAAGAATGTGATTGATTCAAACCAATTTATATCAAAATACAGAGAATTTTCATTTCCTATAGAATATTAAATACATTTTGGAATATGAGTAACAATAAGTAGATTCTAACTGTAATGCAGTAGAACATAGATCTAAACTAGTACTTGTTAAAAAGCCAGATGTTCTCCCATAGCTATTCAAAGCACAAACTTCTAATATAATTATCTGCAAAGATTTGGTCTGGGTCTCATATTAAAAGCAAACTATTAAAGAAGGTTAATAGAGAGTAATTATCTTACTGACTTATATTTTTCTACATGCCTTCTCACTGCCCACTACTCTTCTGTCAAAGGATGCCTCGCTTTCTGTCCCTTTATCACCATGGTTGGTTTGCATGAAAGCTGTCCAGTATCTTGCACCTTTATTTCCAGTCGAAGAGTGAATGTCTTCCCCTACCTTGATCAACTCTCTCAAATTCTGTCTTTCTATTATTTAATTCTAAAGCGCTTAAGATACAGCTGCCATAAAACAGGCCCACTGCAAAATGTAGCTGTATCTTACATCTGCCAAGGCCAGTTTAATTGGTATCAGTCCCTGTGTTGTTTCTCTGAAAGGCAGGAAGAATGGAAAGATGTCCCAAAGGCCCTGGGATTTTTTTGTCATTGCAGTATTTCTGGCTGAGGAGAGTGAGATAGAGCTACCTTCAGCTTGTCAGAACTGTCAGCCTCTGAAGGCTGCTCAAGAACAGGAAAACCATCTTTTTCCCTTGCTGCACGTGCAGTGTTTTCAGCTGGATCCATAATGTAATGCAGAGGAGAAAGCTAACAGGCTCGTCTGGCTTGTGTATAAATCTTTCTGTATCTGTTTTAAACTTTACTGTGTTGTTTCTCTGAAAGGCAGGAAGAATGGAAAGATGTCCCAAAGGCCCTGGGATTTTTTTGTCATTGCAGTATTTCTGGCTGAGGAGAGTGAGATAGAGCTACCTTCAGCTTGTCAGAACTGTCAGCCTCTGAAGGCTGCTCGAGAAGAGGAAAGCCATCTTTTTCCCTTGCTGCACGTGCAGTGTTTTCAGCTGGATCCATAATGTAATGCAGAGGAGAAAGCTAACAGGCTCGTCTGGCTTGTGTACAAATCTTTCTGTATCTGTTTTAAACTTATCTTTATTTGAAACCAGGGTTTGTTTCATGCCTGAGATTTTGCTGTTGACTTCTATGGCTGCAAGTTCCTTGGTTATCCAATGGTAAAATGTAGTTACTTGTGCAGAAATGAAATGGTAAAAAATAATTTCTAAACAAAATTCCAAATTATCCTGACGTTCTCTCGTGTTTATTTTTAGCCATTTTGTTCAGGATCTACAGGCCCTGGCTCTACTGAAGGTAAGTGCTGAAAGAATAATCTTCCTGCTGCTTTCTTTTCGTTTTTTTTTTTTCCTCTTGACTGATCACGCACACACATAGAGCCTATGATGTGCAGTAAATTCACTATTTTCACTCTCAGGCACTAGTAAATACTGATTTTATATGAGGTAAAGAATTTAGACTATAATGTAAGAAACTGATGTTTCTTTTTGGTTTTTTTTTTCCTCTTGGCTGATCACGCACACACCCCCCCAGCCCCAGTAAGCGAGCTTTGTGCATAGTACCAGTCTCTCAACATTGAGCTCCATCTGTAACATTGAACTCTAATAGTTCAGTGCTATTTAAACATACCAAGTTACCACCTAGAATTCAGGGAGTAATGAATAAAACTGTTTAATTTCTGAAGGAGGCAGCTATTGTAAATAACTTCAGTTGACAAATAAGGGCTGTATTACCCCGAACACACTAGGGCCAAATCTCACAGCAGTTAAGAACAGGTTGAGACCTGGATATGGTGGCTGAGCTCTGTCATTTAATAAACATAGAGGCTATGATGTGCAGTAAATTCACTATTTTCACTCTCAGGCACTACTAACTACTGATTTTATATGAAGTGAAGAATTTAGACTATAATGTAAGAAACTGATGCCTTAGTTACAATCTTCCTTCCTTTTACTGGAAAAAAAATTCCTTTAGGCCCATTTAGGGGGTTTCTTAAGTAATGAAAGTACTTTCTCTCTTTGGCCTAATTTCTGAAGAAACAAATATCTTCTATTTCTAATTTTTTAGAAGTGCAATTCAAACCGTTGACTGAGGAAACACTTCTGACTGTGCCGCGGAGTATCAGAAGTACTGTTAAACTAGCAGACTTGAACAATTTGTACAGGGAATTATTTAACCACTTCGTTGTAAATAAGAACAGGTAAGACTTAAAGCCGTTCATCAGTGAGAATTTTGTAAGCTGTAAAGAAATTCAGCCATTTCAAATTAAACAAAACCAGCTAGTTAACCATTCGCTGCTATGTTATAACTTCCTAATTGGATTTGAAGTAAACCCTGGAACCTTGTTAGGTAGATACCCCAAAGTGTCAGGCCATCATACAAAACCCCCTAAATTTGTATGATTTAATAATTGATTAAATTATTATTTAATCAGTTGCTTGTATTGTATTGTATCAATAAATCATATTGCTTGTATGATTTGATAATTTTCAAAACTGAATGTCGGGTTCTTCAGAACAGATTTTTTCACTTTGATTTCACTGTACAGATGTCCAAAACTGGGTTTATTCAGGAAAGTTTTGCTGACACACTCGTACCACCAAACCCGTTTAGCTTTTGGAATCAGCATCCAGAGTGGAAGAACAAAGCCCTGATGCTGAACCACGGCCCCTGAAACCAGTCCCTCCCGCCTCCCCGAGCCCTGGCCCCTCTCTGGGTGTGTGCGGCGCATTTATTGCAGACTGACATTAAAAACGAGGAAGTTTTTACCTCAGGAATTGTGTCTCTCTAGCCCTACGGCTGGATTAGCAAATGACTGGTCTCAGTTTGAAGTAGCACAGAAAACTTGATGACAATCTGCATAAGTATGAGAATTACAGAGCACTTGCAAAAATCACTCATTAAACAGCAAGCGTTTTTTAGCCTTTTTCTGCCAGCCCTGAAGTTTGATACCCTGTTTTGCTCAACAGTTTGCTTTTGTCTTACAGAGCAGCACTGAGTATTTCACAGATGAACAAGATGAATATGAAAGCCACGGACTCAAGAATACAAATCTTGAAAGAACTTGCTATTGTGGAACTTGACAAACAAGGAAATGTTAAATTAGTCGTGTAAACGTAAGCTCAGTCCATCCTCATTTGACACACAAGCATCTTGGTCATAGCTCCTGGGTCACTAACGAGCAAGTGTTTCTCTGGTGTCCAGGAGTTGGAAAGCTGTTAATGTTTCTGTATACAAGTCTATTGATAAAATGAGAGAGTTAAAAAACATTGAGGTTCTATTTTATCTTGGATATTTATCAGACTGCAGTCTGTGCATTTTTGAAGAGTATCATTTGCCATGTGACACTTCCATATTCTTGCTCACATTTCTGAGTGGGTTTTTAAGACAAATAACCCGAACCACTTAATTGTACTTACATTCCTGAATAAACGATGAAAGCTAAGGAGCCGAGGCCATTGATTTATTACGCTTTTGTTTATGTGACTCCTGAGCCCTGCCCTAACCCCTGAAACTGGTCCCTGACCCTTTGCATTTTCCTTTGATGTGAACTGTTGTGGTTTTTTCACAGTCCAGCAAAACTGCAGACTCAGGGAATTGCTGAGGCTGGAGGAGATCTCTGGAGATTGTCCAGTCCAGCCCCCTGCTCAGAGCGGGGCCGACTACAGCAGGTTGCTCAGTCCCAAAAAGCTCCAAGGATAAAGACTCCACAACCTCTGTTGTGGTGTTTGGCCACCCACACAGTAAAAATAAAAAAAAAGGGATTTTTCTTTCCTCAGGCTTAATGTTTTTACATTTATTTCACCCTAATTCAAGAAAGTAAGGTACCTGAAGTTTATTAAGTTTCAACGTTTTCTTGTGAAAAATGATGACTGTCATTGATGACTGAGAGGAGTTTTCAATTAGTGCCCCTAGGAGGAGAAAGGCTGATTTCTGCAGTTACCAATGCTGGTCTGTTAGAGTCTGCTGGGAAGAGGAACAGGGTGTGCATCGAAGAAGTGAAGGACAAGGATAACTTGATTTTATGACATCTGCTGCTGAGAACGCCCTCTTACCTACAAGGTTGCTCTCGCATCGAGTTGTCATGGCCTCAAGTTGTGCTGAGGGAGGTTTAGGGTGGGTATTATGAAAAAATTCTCCACAGAAAGGGTTATCAAGCACTGGAAGAGGCTGCCCAGGGAATCCCCATCCCTGGAGGTGTTTAAAAGGCAGGTAGACGTGGTGCTGAGGGTCATGGTTTCAGGACATGGTTTTGGCAGCTTGATGTTAGTTGGACTTGATGATCTTAAATGTCCCTTCCAACCCAGATGGCTCTATGATTCTTGGGTTGTTCCGAGCATATTTTAGCCGCAGCCCCGAGGACATCTGCCCGGCCTGGCCCTGAAGCCCTGTCAGGTGTGGCGATCCCCCCCTTGCAGCCAGCTGTTTAGCGCTGCCTCCATTGCGCTCCCTCCCGAAACCTCCCCTCAGCATCGAGCGCCAAGCTCCGCCGCTCGAAGCCCCGCAGCCGCTCTCCCCTCAGGGAGCGGCCGTTGCCCTGGCGCCGCCATGCTGCGCCCGCCCCGCCTCACGCCTGCGCAGCGCGGGCGGCGGTTGGGCCGCGCCTCCCCTGGGCGGGCGGGCGGAGGGTGGAGCTGCCCCGCTCCCCGCGAATATGGCGGGGGCCGGGGCACGGCTTCTCCCCGCCGGCTCCTAAACACCCTTCGCCGGGCAGCGCGCTAGGGAGAAGGGCTGGGGAGAGCCTCCCCTCCGCCGCCATGGACGAGCAGAGCGTGGAGGTGAGCGAGCGGGCGGGCGGCGGTTGGGCTCCCTCAGGGGAGGCGGCGGGGGAAGCGCAGCCCCCTGAGGCCGCGGGGGAGCTTGTGGGGAGGCTGCTCCTTCTTCTCCGTGGGGAAGGGCGAACGCCGGGGCCGGGCCCTTCAGCAGGAGGCTGGGGCCGGCCATCCTGCCTTATTTACGGGCTGCGGCCCCTGCCTGGTGTGAGGGGAAAAGGGCGGGCGGCAGCCGGCCATGGGCGGCCTGAGGGGATTGCGGGGATGGGGGCTGGCGTGTGAGGCGGGCAAAAAGGGAGCAGGGTGGTGAAGAGGTGGCATTTTTTTAGGCCACACGCAGTTATTTTGCGTAGTCGGGGTTAGAAAATAAACCGGTGGGGCGTCGGAGGTGCCCGCTGTGGAGGTGGATGGAGACCTGGCCCTGGCAGAGCCCGCCTTGGCATGGCTGAGGAGGGCACAGCGTGCGGCGGTGGCCGGCTGTGGCACGGACAGCTTGCCCGCACCGCTGCGGTCACTATTAATAGCGGCCACGCAGGAGAAGAATTTGGAAGACCTTGTGGGATAATAACTTATTGTAAATGCGTGTGTTGCATTTCAATGATTTGCAGCCATTAAGGAAGACGCTAATGTACGGGAGATGCTGTCATTTCTGTATGTTGAAGATATGCCTCACTTCTGTGTGAATTTATGATTTTAAAATTAGCCCATCTGAAGAATCTTTCAAAGTTCCGTAATTAAAGCCAGCGGAGATCTAACTCCTGTACAATACAGAATGTAAAACTTCTTTATCAGTGAAAAAAAATCCATCAGTATGGAAAGCAAGCATCACTTGGCATTTCAAAATACCTTTCTCATTTGGGAATAGAGAGAGGTGAGGTGACAGTATTCTAGAACAAAAAGCTTCTCTTTTCAAATGGATGTACTAAAAAAATACATTCAATTACATTTTTATTGCCCAAGATTGATTAAATGGGGCTGAGAGAGTGTAGAAACTGAGGAGCTAGTGCTAACACTAGACCTTAAAACAATGTAAATCTTGTAAAAAATAAAATGCCCTGTCCAGCTCAACCCCTCTCATTGGCATTCTATATAATACATACATGCTCTTCTCATGCTTTTGAAGTAGTTTATTTCCAGAACATTGAAACTCAGGGGTTCAGAATCTGCAGGTGCAGTACAGTTATTTCAGGCAACTGTTCAATCCCACATGAAGTAGGAATAATGTCTTGGCTACAGGAAGGCCCTCTTGAAAAATGTAAACCAAAGCAAGAAACTATTCCTTGGAGAAGAACAGTGTTATAAAATGGGTGCTGAGAGCTGGTGTAGCATAGGAGAAAGTGGGGAGGAGAGCCATGGTGTTTGATTTTGTATCTCTCTCTGTGATGTGAGATCCGCAGCTGTTTGGAATGGGGCTGTTTTTACAAAACCTGGCACTTTGCCTGGGAAACAAATGCAACTCTGATGTGTTTGAAGTATGTGGCTTAACAATAGCGATAATCTACCCTTTGCAGAGCATTGCTGAAGTGTTCCGATGTTTTATTTGTATGGAAAAATTGCGTGATGCACGTCTGTGTCCTCATTGCTCCAAGCTGTGCTGTTTCAGTTGTATTCGGGTGAGTTTGCTTATTACAGTTTATTCTTGCAAATGTATGAACTTAAAAACTACTGATCACACACTCTTGCTTCTTTCTTGCCCCTTTTCCTGGAGTTCAAAGGATTTATTTTTCTTGCTCTGTGCTCTTTAGTTTCCCTTTCAAAATCTTTTGTGACACTCTGAGGGAAAACTAGGCGGTCTGTGCATTGCATTCACTACTGCTAATTATAGGGACTATCTGGAATAATTGCTTTTAAAAAACGGGCATATAATGATCCCTTCTTTAGCACCTTTTGGGATGGGAGGCATCACTGATGCCTGTATGGAAGACAAAAGTTGGAACAGGAATCAAATGCTGACTTTGCATCTGTCAGTATGGAGCACTGGAAGGTCATAACAACACCTCTTATCATCTTGGAGATGTTTTTAAATGCTTACCAAACTGGTATGATATCATCAGATACAGGCTAAACCTTTCTCAGGGGAGTCTGGTATAGCAGGCTGAAGCAGCATCTGAAGTAGCTCAATTAATTTATTAAGGTCATGGTTACCAAATTATAACACTTCAGTTCTGAGTCCAGGCGCTCTTATGGGTTAGTGTGGTGGGAGAAGGTTCAGCTGAGGCTTTTGGACCTCAAGTAGTATTTCCAGAAACTGGAACAATCGTCATTCACTTTGAAAGCTGTGAGAGGAACTATAGGCGAAGAATTCGCGTTACATATTAAAAATGTTAGATGACATATTGTTGCTGGGCGGTGAGAGATTATTCATGAGAATCTTTAAATATAGTCGTGTGATGACAAATATAAGTCCTTCAGCTGCCAAGCTTTTACACTTGTAGTGGGCAGATGAAGTTCTTTCCTCAGCTACTTGTCTTTGGAGCTTTCTGGAAGAGAAACATTCAAAGGATCCTTGTGGATTTGATCACTGAACTGCAGGTATTGAACTTGTGTATAAATAGCCTGAGGGGAAGGAAGAAATAAATTACCTTGAAGACTAATAATTTAGGCTCTGAAAAATATGCTTGCTGTATCTTTTACTTTCTTTTGTTGAAACGTGCTCTTCAGCCTATGACTATGGGAGTCAGTGCTCTGTGTGTGGTTTCTTATGGACTATTAGGTACCTCAAAATTCTCTGTATAATTTTAACTGAAGTGTCTTTGACATCTAAAGAAAAGTGGTTGCTTTGTTACTAAGATACAAATAGCAGCTTCTTCTGTGACTAAGTGGTTGAACAGTTAAATTACAAATCTGTAAAAAAAGGGAAAAATATAGGAAGGCTGTAATAAAAAGAAGTAATTCCCAATTAATGATAGACTATACTTGCTTGCAGTTCTTTTCTTACAGTCTCTTTAAAAATGTTTTTCTTTTTTCCTTCATAGCGTTGGCTGACTGAACAGAGAGCTCAGTGCCCTCATTGTAGGTAAGATATTTTTAATATCAGAAACAAATTATCAAGAATTGGATGTACTGTCCTGTTATGAACGGTCTTTTTTTCAGTGCAGGTTGCACTAAATTTGTAAGCTTGATCTTTTTGAGACCTGCCTGCTGTTACTATAAAAGATTTACCCCGAGATGATACTTATTCTAAAATATGTTCTAGTTTTGTGGCTAGCTAAGCAAGATCTTTGTTCTTCCCCTATTATACTATTGTTTTCACTGCCTGTAGTTGTTGTAATAAGAGTAACTAAATGATGTTCCTCTTAGAACTCTTTATATTCTTCTTGCAAGAGTTGGAGATCAGAAACTTCAGTTTTCAGACTGAAATGTGGACTTTTTTAATACCTATGATTTGTGAGACTTACCTTATGTGTTGCTGATTTGTTTGAGGTAGCTACAATGTCGTCTTGTTTTGTTGTTGATTATTTTTTTTTAAATGCAGTGGTCCAGCCCTGGCTCTCTGAGCACTTCTAGTCCTTGGGTACCTGGCAATTCTAGCTCGTGACAGACCAAAACTTGGAAAGTAGCATTATTTTCCCCCTAAGGGAAGGGAGATACTTAAAGTCAACTAACCAACCATTCCTGCAGAACTTTATCAATATTCAGCTTTTAAAGTATTTGATCAGTAGATCTAAAATGCTTG